CGGTTTCTGTTCTGGTCCTAAGTTCCGTCCATCTCCAGCTACCGGTGATCAATAGGAACAGGATGTTTAGGAAGAAGTTAAGGAGGCAAGAAAGCGGGGTGTCGAGGGAGAAGCAAGCCAGGCTGTGTCAGCGGCGCAGGGACTCGGACGAGCGCCCGGCCCAGCAGACTCTGGGGAAGCCGCGGGGCTCCGCCAGCCCGGGCCGGATGCGTGAGGAGTGCCTGGCCATCTGGGGTCCAGCAGGTCCCGTCTCTCTCCGAGGACCTCAGCCTCCTCCTGAGTAAAGGGGGCTGGGGCTGCAATGCCTGGCACCCGACGCCCACCACATTTTAAACAGGTATCTATACTTTCTGTTTACTTAAGCAATGTTTGTTATTGTTGCACAGAATAGGGGCACAGGACCTCTCCCCATTGTCCCCACAAACACCACCCTGCTCGGCTTGTATACCTCCAGGAATGGGGAACTCACTCTTTCTTTCCTTTCCCTGGCTGGCCAAGGCCCAGCTGGACTGGTTCCCTGGAACCTCCAAGAATATTCTGGGCAAAAGAATTTGCCCCTGGGCGGGGCCTGGCGGTAAGGACAGGATGACCAATATCCCTACTCTCTGTCCCAGACCCGGAGTTGACGAACTCGCCGAGGCTGTTTTGCGCATGCCCCAGATCCCAGGGTGCCTGCCCCGCTGGTGCCTGCTGAATATTATCAGTCTAGTGGCTGTAATCACAGCTGCTTGTGAACTACAGGCAGCTTGTGAACTACAGGTGTGTTTTGTTTGACCTGCACAAGGTTTTCCAAGAATTTTGAAGTACGTTTCATGTATGTATCTGCTATGTGCCTTCTCTTACAACATCAAAAGATCTGGCAATATTTGGTTGTTGTCCTGTGAGGGGCCTGCTCTCTCCACTTCTCCACAGACCACACCCTTCCCTATTGCCGCTATGGGTCCATGTTACCCACATATGTTGTCTTCCAGGCCCCTTTGGGTGTTTGGGTGTATAATCCCCACTAATCAAAAAAAATCATGCTCCCCTACTCCTTTCCAGCTGCGGTTTCTGGGGGTCAGTGTGGTCATGCCCTCCTTCCCACGCCGCTCTCCCTCACCTCTCCTGACACATCACCACAGGAATGGGACACTGAGACACACTCTTCTAAGGCCTTTCACCACAAGCTGGCGAGGTCATTACTGTATCTCCACTTTGCCGATGAGGCTCAGTCAGGTTAAGGCCATGGGGGCAGTGAGCTCTAGTGGCTGGAGATTGTTCGCGCCCCCGCCTTATGGGGCTGCAACTCGTCGGCTCCTCTTCTCACCCGCGATTGTACTAGTTCCTCATTCCCTAGGTCCCGGGCTTTTCCCCCTCGTCCGCCCCCCACCCCCTGGAACCAGGTGCCTCTGCCCTCTGTCTCTGGCCCCCTCCTCACAGCTGGGACCCCCTTGAAGTTGGAAATAGATGACATTAGTGACAGGGCAGGGGATAACCATAGTATCAGAGATCTTTGGACTTGGGAACGAGGCCGGTGACATGGTCCCACATAGAGATGGACTTGAGCTTCGACATGTTTGAGCTGGATCTTGGCTTTCTGGTGTCTAGCTTAGCTGTGTGATCTCCTCACACTCTCTGACCTCAGTCCCATTTGTGGGAAAAGCTGCATGGAGTGGGAATCAGGTTCGGCTTGCTCAATGCCATACCCTCAGCTTGTGGGCTTGGGGATGCGATAACCATGGGGGAGGCTAATGGCTCTGGATTAAATGAGAAAATGCATGTGAAGGCCTTAGCTCTGCTCAGCAGAAAATGATGCAGTAGCCGGTGCTCAGTAGATTCCAGCTGCTGTTGTTGGCAGGCCACAGAGGACAGAGGATGCGCCTGTCTCTCTGGCTCGTGAAATTCTCAAGGAGCCAGAACAGGCTCAGTCTGAGATACCAGAGCCTGAAAGCCCCTGGGGGTTGTCAGGTGCCCACTCAGGACGGGCCCCACGCCCATCTTTGCCACCCCATCCTGTCTCTCTGGCCCAGCTGGGCTCTCCCACCAGGAATTTGAAAAGGAAAAGCAGAGGCAGTCACAGCCCTGTGCCGAACCGTCTAACCAGACCCATTAATCGACAAGCCGAGCTGCTGCTTTCCTGCCAACCAGCCGCCTGAAGAGTACTTACTCTACCTGTGAATTGATGGCCCTACTTTCAGCACCACTAGGGCTGATGCTTGCCACCCACAGAGGCTGGGTGCCAAGGGGATCCGGGAGCGCTGGGCAGGGACCGCCCTGCCACCTTGCAGGCTCCAGGTGGCCCTGGTTCTCATGTTACAGACGGGAAACTGAGGCACACAAAGGGGCGCAGCGGGCAGGGCTAGAACCCAGCTCACAGCCCCCGGTTCCCCGGGCACCAGCAGGTGCTCTGAATTTGAATAGGGCTGAATTACCTGAGGCTCCTTCTTGCCCCTCCAGTCTTCTGGCCCTTCCTGGGTATGCTCTGTCCCACGTCAGCATCTCAGAGTCCCTCCTAGGAGTTTAGGGGCACTACAGGCCCTGACTGTCACCAACCAGCCTGCACAGACCTCAGGACCCCGCCTGAGCCACCTAATGAAGTGGCAGGCGCCCCTTGATCAGACTCCTGAAGATGAGGGTCCCCCTGTAGCAGCCCAAAGCAAGTAAAAAAGGGGCCGAAGCCCCGAGAAGTCGTGAGGATCTGGCTCCCACCTCCGAGCTGCTAAGCCTAGTGGGGCGGAGAGAGGGCCTCAAGCCAGCAACACCACTGCATCCAGGGGCAGGCAGAGGTCACCGAGATGACCAGACCCAGACCCTGGACATACACTCGAGAAACGGGCGCAGGAGCTTGATCCTTGACCCCGGGCGTCCACAGCAGTGGCCATGTGTCCAGTTTCCAGAACCTTCCTGACTTAAACTCTCCTGCCCCAGGTTGGGGGGGGTTAGCAAGGTGTCAGAACTGCAGGCCCTACACATGCACCTGCCTCGTGCTCACCTGCTGGCCTTGAACCTGGCCCCGCCTCGTGGGCTGCTTGCCTTTGCCTGGCCCACCTGGACTCCACACGCAGAGTCCAAGTGAAATGAAACGCAAACACAGCTGAAAACGGAAGCCCCACGCAGCCTCCGCCCGCCCCACTCGGCAGCAGCCACAGCAATCGACTGCTTAGCGCACAAGCTTCTAGCCCTTCCCGTCTCCGAGGCCTCCCTGTGCCAGAGCAGACGGCGCTCCAGTGTCTGCTCAAGACATACAAGGGATGCGCAAAGGCACGCTATGCATTTCACAAAAACAGGCTTTACTACGCTCACCATGTGGCAAACTGCCCGTCCCACTCGTCGGAAGTTACCCACAGGCAGTGTTTAGAGCCTGCTGTGACCGATGCCCAGGCGTGCTGTCCCCGCTGGGCTCTGGGGCAGCCCTGCCCGGCCTAAGTCACACTCCTGCCCTGATTGCCCCAACACCCCTGGGTGTCAACTCGGGCCTTCCTCTGCCTGCCCCAGCTCTCTGACGCTATTACTCTGACCTCTATTTATTTTATCCAACAACTAAAATTTTAAAAATTTGAGACCGTGGTATGTGCCAGGCACATAACTGTTCAGAATGTTCCACCAACTTTAACTTGTTTAACTCTCACCACGATCCAGTAAGAAAAGCAGGATTGTTATCTCCATTCTATGGGTGGGGAAACTGAGGCACAGAGAGGGCCTGTCCTTACAGTCAGCGGATAGTAGAGCTGGGGATCCAACCCAGGCTGTCTGGCTCCAGGGTCCATACTCCCAACTGTCACAGCAGGGTTTCCCAGACTTCAATGTGCAGCATGGACTGCCAGGCCCACCCGAGTTCAGATGCAGCCAGGTGTGGCGTGGGCCCGGGAATGTGCATTTCTAGCAAGTTTCCCAGTGATGCTGCCGGTCCAGGAACTACACTTAGAGAAGCATGGCATTGCATGCGCTGCCCCGGGCATTACACCTGCTGCCCCTGGGCTCCCAGCGGGGTGGCCTGCAAGCCTCTCGCCCGAGTGCAGGGCAGGGCAGCTCGGGGTGAAGTCCTGGCCCCTACAGACCAGCACGTTATCTGGAACCACTGACTCGTCCACAGTCTAAACAGTTCCCGGGAATGAAAGACTGCTCTTACCTCCCACAAAGGTCTGTCACCTCCCCACAAAGTGTCCTCAAAACATACCCTTCTCCAAAGCTGTGAGTTAGGATTAACTCGGTGAGTCTGGGTTGTCCACACCCTATAGTTTTTAAAGGAAAGTTTGGCCCTGGACTGGCTCCTGTGAGGGAACCTCTGAGCCCTTGGAACTGAGGAGTGTGTTTGTTTACCTGGGGCCTGTGACCAGGCCAGACAGTTTATGCTAATAATGTGATTTATGGTGGGGGCCTCGGGCCACCAGTATCAGCTTGACCTCGGGCTCAGAGGACTGGTGACCACGGTCAAGGGGGGGGGGGCAGGCAGCCATGCCTACGTGATCGAGTCCCAGTGAAAACCCTGGATGTCAGGCTGGGGCGGGCTCCCCTGGTGGGCACCGGTCCGCGTGTGTTCTCACGCATCACTGCTGGGGAACCAAGCGCCATCTGCACTGGGAGGAGACAACGGGGGACCCCCCGCGGGTGTCCCCTGGACCTGCCCTATGGACCTGTTCTGTTGCCGGTTTTCATCTGTATCTCGTCCTTGTTGTAAACTAACTGTGACTGTCACAGTGGGCCCTTCGAGCAAATCATGGAGCCTGAGGGTGGTCTCGGGGACGCACAACACAAGCGCCCAGCCAGTGCCTTGGTGGACGGTCCCGGAGCACCCCGAGCACCGGCTTCAGCCCGAGCCCTGCCCTCAGTGCCCAGCTCACTCATCCTCTCCAGGCCTCCAGGCCCGTGGCTCGCAGCAGCCTGGGCCCTACGGAGGGAGGACGTTTATCATCCACCAGCCACCCCCTCCATGGAGAAACCCAGGCAACGTCAGGACACATCCCAGGTACCAGATACTATCCCAGGAACCAGGTAACATCCTGGCCCCCGGCGCGTCTTACCTGCCAGTGACCTCGATGTTGGAGATGGCATAGAAGTACTTGTAGAGGTTCTCCCGCTGCACGTAGGTGCCGCCCAGCGCGGGGCGCAGCAGCCGCACGCGCAGGTCGGTGAGCGTGAAGAAGTCCTTGAGGCCCTTGGCGCTCTCCAGGCGCGTGTAGAGGTTGTCCATGTTGCGCAGGTCAGGGCCAGCGAAGATGGCGAAGCGGTCCCGCACCTCGAAGCGCACGTGCTTCTCCTTCTTGGAGCCCGCCCAGCGCGAGTACTCCTCGGTGCAGAGCACGCGGTGCGCGCCCGACGCGGGCAGGTCGCGGGCGCGGCGCGCGGGCATCCCGAAGGCCTCGGCGCAGTCCTCGGCGTAGAACTGGTAGGGCTGCCACGTGCGCCCGTTGTCCAGCGACTTCTCGAGGACCATGACGGTGGGCCGGCCGTACTCGAAGGTCATCACCACGTCGTCCGTCAGCTCCACGCTCTTGTTCCACGAAAGGGTGATGTTGGCCTCCAGCGGGCTGGGGTAGCGGCTCCACGTGACGCTCTGCCAGTACGTGGCCAGCCCCTCGTCTTCCTCGTCGAACATGAGCTGGGGCGGGTGGGCCAGGTCCGGGTTGGAGGCATCACACTCGTTGCTGCACAGGTAGGGGTTCTCCTGCAGGGGGAGAGGGGGAGGCCGGGGTGGGCGCTGCCGCTCGCAGGGCCTGGGGAGCGTCGGCCCGAGGTTGCAGAGCCTGTGCTCTGTGCCATGTCTGGGCACCAAGAAGCACCTCCTGGGTAGGTCGCTTGTACCCCTTTCCCCAAAGCCTGTAAAGGCATGTGACATTATGGCTGCCCAGGAAAACACACACTGGTTCCTACTCTAAATACAGACCATCAAGAGAGGCGGGTGTGAGCCACCTGCTCCAGTGTCCCCCATGGCTCCCCATTGCCTGGGGGGTAAAGTTCCAACTCTAATACCTTGAGGCTGACAGCTGGAGCCACTGTTCCTAACCTCCCGGGGCTCAGCCCACCTGAGCATGCCTGTCCTCCGAACCCCACCTGTCTGGGCCGCTGAGCCTTTGCGGATGGCATTCCCTCTCCTTGACATGCCCTTCTACTGTCAAGTCTCGAAAATTCCTACCCACATCCTCAACTCTGTAAACATTTCCTGCACTAAGATGTCTTCCTGACCCTCTAAACTACATCATCAGTAGTTGCGACAGGTGCAGCTGTGAGAAAAGTCACACGCATTTGTTTGCAGGTGTTTGTTGAACTGCCCCTCGGCGCCAGGCGCACGATCTCATGTACAGGCTCATTTCTCTCCGATCCACTATCCCACCTCCACACTCAGGATGTTACCTCTGTGCTCTGGATGAAGGAGCCTGGCCTCAGGAAGGCGGTGGCCCTTGCCCAAGGCCCCCACTCTGGAAAGAGCTGGGAGCCACGCCCGGGCCTGTCCCTGCAGAGCGTGACAGTCACGCCTGTCCCTGGCACAGCACATGTGCCTGCCTCGTGCAGAACCTAGGCACACTGGCGGGTGCTGAGTGTCCACGGTTCCTCTCAAGGGGGTGCATCTTTGTGGTGAGTCATTTCTAGGTCCTTGGCATGTGCCGGGCAGGCCCCGGGGGG